TCTGGGGCTGGAGCGAGGGCTCTTAAAAATAAAGTGATTTATAATCACCGATATCGAGCAGGGCAGCGGCTCCGCACTTTAATCTTGGCGTTGGCCCTGATCCTAGTAGGGGGTCTGATATTCTTTCCTTTCTCGTTGTTCCCCTTTGGCAGAACAAGCTCCATGTCACGGGGCCAGCTGGGCAAATTCTAGTCCCCGTTGACTTCATTAGAGTGACTCCAATGTATACATGGTCATGCCAATTCTCTTCCAGAATTTGATGTGAGGAAATGGGTCTGGCCCTCGAACGCTCATCACCTAATAAACCATCTTGTTAGTCTTTAAAGTGCTGCATAGTCCTGTCTTTTGTTTCAGCAAGATCAGACTAACACGGCTGCATCTCTATTACTATTCCAATGTTCCTGAGAGCAAGATTTGCAGGACAGACTATAAAGCTAGGCATCATCAGGCTGGGTCGTAACTTCCACCCAACTAACACAGGACTGTCCTCTGCACCAGTCCCCTAAAAACTGAATCTGAGCCGACAGCTCTCCTAGGGTGTCCCCCTCTAGGGACTCCAGTGGGAGCCGGTGTCCAGCAGACTGTTTTGTCCTGGCACTGATCTGTAGCAAGCACTGAAAAGCTCGAGTGTGAGCTGCAGGTAGTATGAGTTGATGTCCCCTCTAAAGCTTTTCCATCCATGTGTGGACTTTTTCCATTTGTGTGTGGAATTATTTTTTTCCTGTGCACCCAGGTACATGTGAATGTGTACCACCAGTAGAAGCAGAAAATCCAGGAGTGGGTGCTCTACAGATCAGCTGGGCAGCACTTGAATCTCTACTGAATGGCCACACAAGCATGCAGCTTACTGTGAACATGGCGCGCTGCCCAGCTCACTAGTGAACTGACTTCAATAGTGATCGTCAAGTGCTTTGAGATCCCCTATGAGAGTCGTTATGCAGAGCATCTAGATCTGGGCTGGGCAAAAAGTGGCCCATGGAGCCAAACCACAGGATCGAGCTCGCAGGTACAGTGGGATCCTTAGTCAGGCTCCCTGCCTACCCTGCCCCCTGCACACCGCTCAGAAAAGCCGGCTGCAGGACCCTGTTTGTGAACAGCTGCAAGCCCGGGGAGAGGTAGGAGTGAGAAGAATCTTTGCACGCTACCCCTGCCCACAGCACAATCTTGTGGCTCCCATTGGCCAGTTTCCCACCAATGGGAGCTGCCTGGTTGAAGAACAGTGACGAACAGGCAGCACCCCAGGTACCCCTTCCTCCTCCCCCACAGGCATGCAGCTCTGAGCAGACCTGCCAGGGAATGGAAGGCAGGGAACCCGCTGAGCTACCAGCTGGCAGTCACCCAGGTAAACGTCTCCCAGCCAGAGCCTGCCTCACGGCACCTCAGCCCCTTTGGCCCCTACCCCACATAAGCCAGACCCTCTGCCCCCTCCTGCACCATACCCACTCCCAGACCCTGCACCCCAGTCTCCTGTCCCAGGTCACTACCCCTTCCTTCACCCGAACACCTTCCCAGAGCCCACACCTCCTCCTGAACCCCAGTCCCTTACCCCAAGCTCCCTTCTGCACCCCATCTCCCTCCCAGACCCTGCACCTCCTCCAGTGATATCATGGAAGAATGCAGCCCTTGACCACTTACCAAATTCTTGGAATGCCCCGCTCCATCAAAAAATAATTGCCCACCCTGGACTAGCAGGTATTCTCTGTGGGGTGGGAGTCTTGTCTGTGCATCCAGCCTACCCCTGCCTTGCATAAAGGTTCGGGGCCTGCTGCCATATCAAACACGGGAGCTACGTCTAGACTGGCATGATTTTCCGCAAATGCTTTTAACGGAAAAGTTTTCCGATAAAATCATTTTCAGAAAAGACCGTCTAGATTGGCAGGACGCTTTTCCGCAAAAGCACTTGTTGCAGAAAAGCGTCCGTGGCCAATCTAGACGCGCTTTTCCGCAAAAAAGCCCCGATCGCCTTTTTCTCGATTGGGGCTTTTTTTGCGGAAAACAAAACTCAGCTGTCTACACTGGCCCTTTTACGCAAAAGTTTTGCGCAAAAGGACTTTTGCCCGAACGGGAGCAGCATAGTATTTCCGCAAGAACACTGACAATCTTACATGAGATCGTCAGTGCTTTTGCGGAAATTCAAGCGGCCAGTGTAGACAGCTGGCAAGTTTTTCCGGAAAAGCGGCTGATTTTCTGGAAAAACTGGCCCGTCTAGACACAGCCAGGGGTTTTTTAACACTTTAAAAAGACAGTGAGTTGCACAAACGTCCTCTGCACACCTGGGGGAGCAGCCAATCTCTTGCTTCTTAAAGGCTGGTACCTTCTGGCTGTTGTTATTGGGTTTTTTTAACTGAACAAAACAACACCACACCATTGCTTGTACCTGCTCTCCTCCAAACAGTTGGATTCAGCTAGTGACTGGCAAACGGGGCTCTCCCTGCCTATGCTCCCCGTGCCCTGATGGAAGGTGTCATCATGTACACTCGACTGATAATAAACAGTCCGCAGCCAGGTCCCAGTTCTGCTGGCCACTAGTGCCCTGATGGAAGGTGTCGTCATGTACACTCGACTGATAATAAACAATCCACAGCCAGGTCCCAGTTCTGCTGGCCACTGAGGCTTTTCAGAGCCCACGAGGGCTGGTTTGTGGCTCTCGCCAATTGTGCCAAACAAAGCTTCTGGTTGTGGATTTTGGTTTTTGCTGCTGCCCAGAGTGAGGGTACTTGAGAATATTGTCCCTGTGCCCTGAGGGGAAGAGAAAAATGCAGAGGGTAGTGGCACCGATCTGACATAGTGTATATAATGCAAGCCTTCCTCCACCTTCAGATTAGGGATATAAACTTTAGTGTTAACCAGATAACCTTACTGGCATGCTTACTGGTTAACCAGTGGAGGTCTGGTTGGAGCAGTTCCTCCTCCCATGTCCCTGCCACCCTCATGCACAATGAGGGGGATAAGCAAGTATTATCCACCTCTTGCAGATGGGGAAACTGAGGCACATCGGGGCTCTGAGACTTAATCATGCTCAGCCAGCCAATCAGCAGTAGAAATACCATCTGCAGGAGACATGCCTACCATTCCTCCCTCCCCCCCCACTGCAACCACTGGACAATACTGTCCAGCATCCCATTTGCAAGCCACAGCCTCCAAGCACTAGCCGCCGAATGCAATCATTTCATTGACACTTTTCTCAGTGATGGATGGCTTCAGGATGTATTTGCTGAGCCTATGCAGGGATCTCAGAGTCAAACCAAAACCTGCCTGCTCCTCAGTATTGTAGGAAATATATTAAAAGAGCCCAGCTGGACTGGAGCAGCCCCCTGCCGCATTTTAACCTGCATTTTACATCCCTGTTTCAAATACGTCCTTCCAGCCTCCCTCCTCACCTCCTGGCTCAGTCAGAGCCCACAGCATCCCCAGCCATGTCTGCTTCATAAGAGAATCACCTGCTTTGCTTCCAGCTTTGGCAGAAACTAGAGGCCATTGCAAAGTCCATTCCCCCTGGTTTTAGAGAAGGCGCAAGAATTCTGCAGGACCAGGAAAACCTGTCCCCTGATGAAGTGGGGTTTGGCCTCAAAAGTTTATGCCCTAATAAATCTGTCTCTAAGGTGCACAGGAGCCTCACTGTGAGACAGATTAACATAGCCCCTCCTCTGATACTGTTCCTAGGGGAAATTTCATCCTCTCCTCCATCAGTCAGGGGTTGACCCAAAACAGGACGTTTGTATCAACTCAAAACTCATGTGAGTTGTATTTTTTTAAAACTCTTATTATTAAAGCTCTGGATGATCTCAGCATCCAAAAAGGACTATCGATTTCTATGGATAAGAAGTTGTTGGGCCTAATGATATCTTGTGGCGGTGAGTTCCAAGGGTGAATCGGGTAACTAACAAAACGGAATATGGTGGCATCCTCAAGGTCACAAATTCTGATGTTGTCCCTTCCTGCCCTCTGTTAACTCTCTCTGTTCAAGAGGGACTCTGGCATGAAGCCAGAGTGACAGCATGGAGAGGCCTGTAGCCCTCCCCTCCCCCACTCATGTTGTTCTACCATGTGTCTCTTGGCTACATTCATGTTTAATTCAGAAGTGCAACTCTCAGATAGGTAGGAACACTGACCTGAACAGAGGGCCCCTTGCCGGGCCTCCCTTGCAGTGTTCCCTGTAAGCTGCACAGCCACAGGGGAGAGAGAGATCCAAATGCCGCCTGGTTGATGAGCAAAGCATCCACTGCTAGGTTTGTGTTACTCGGGGTGGTGCTCCAAATGCCACCTGGTTGATGAGCAGGGCACCCACTGCTAGGTTTGTGTTACTCGGGGTGGTGCACATTCGCTCATGCCTCAGTGCACCACAAAAAAATTTATTCTGCACATGGATGGGAAAAAAATCCAGGCATGGATGGAAAAGATCAGAGAGAACACTGCTCCCCAGCTATGGGGGTGGTAGGCTGCTCACTGGGACCCGCTGGGTGTGTCGATTTCACATGACCCAAACCTGCTCCGGGAGGATCCCCACCCAGGACACTGGGGCTGGGCACAGGGGGGAATCCAGGATCGGTCTCCTGAGGCAGCCCTAGGGACCCTCTCAGCAGCGCCCGGACTCTGGCCCCGGGAAGGAACCCCAGTGTGCACAGGATGGGGTGCCCGGTGGGCAGGAGCTTCGGCCCCGGGTGCAGCCCGGTGTGGGGTGGGGGCGCTGAGATGCGACCAGGGAGCGACCCACGTGCAGCGCCCCCTCGCAGCCCCAGCTGCGTCCC